AGAGGCTGAGGCCTTGGGAGAAACTGTTAACAATATTTCATTCCTGGGGCAGCTAGAAACAGTGGATCCTCAGGGGCCAATTACTTAATTGCAATTGGAGATACCACATGCTGTAACCAATTGCCCTGTGTCCTGCAACTGGAGATAGTTTCCTAAACAGCAGGCATCCTCCTCTCCTTTTCCTACCTCCTGAACACTAACCTGTTCCTCCTACAGGATTCCCAGAAGAGCCACAGAGCCAGATTCTGTCTCAAGGAAAGCTCTAGTTACATTCTCTCTGAGCCGGACTGAGATCCCAAGTGATATGTGGCCTCTGGCCATGTAGTGATTGAGATCTTCTTCCCTGATTCAGTGTCTAACTCCACCTCTATTTGGACAAACCACAGTGGAACCAGAGCCCTGTAGTCACCAGGAGGAAAGAAAGGACTCTGGACAAAACAGAGCTTCTGTTTCAATAGTGCGATGGCCCTGGGAATTGAATCCCAAAGCACATGCCTCCCATCTTAACAGGAGTACTGGGACAAGAACGCAGGCACTTTTATGCCTGTTCAATCCACACCTATTTGTCTGTCAAATAGGAGACTCAGTCAGTTAGATTTGTTCTGTCAATGGAAGAACTGTTATTGTTCGCAGTTGATGGCTAAGCAAATAAGGAAATAGATTCTGTAGAGGTTAAGTGTCAGAGATTAAGTATGGAGGGTCACACTGGTAGGAAAACTGAAGTCACCTCCCCTCACACACATAGCAACCCTTCCTGGTACGCAGATGGTGTGACCTCCTGCCTGGCCTGCTCGCACCAAGTACCTCTGGGGCAGGGAACATAACTTCCTGTCCTAAAAATATGAGTTTGTCCCCAGTTGGTCTCTGGTCTTTTGCCTGAGAAAAGAGATCTTCTCAGTTGCATTTTCCTGTGACATCAGGAAGATTTGTCAAGTCAGTGCTCAAGGGAGCACATCTTACCACCTATGTGACCTAAGAGGTATAGAGGGTCCAGCTATCTCCTGACTGACCAGTCCTTCTGACCCACTGCCCTCCAAAAGAT